ATTTTATTATTTGATGATTTAGTAGAGACTTCTACATTTATAAGTTAAATATTTTTATGTAAACTGATTTCATAGATATCTATTACTTAATTTTTTTTCTTTTTCTGAGGTTTTAAGTGACATATTTTAGTTTTACCAAGGATATGAATACAATATTTGAACAATGTATTTTTAAATCTTCTGTTGCTAATTTCTATCAAAAATTATAACAGGTTTTATTATTCTCTCGGTTTTGTATTAATTCCTTTTTTCATTATTAATGAATTAAAATACTTTTAATTATTTGAATAGCATGTGACTACAACCATACAAGGAAACTTTGTATTTACCAGAGCTGGGCAATTTATCTGATTACTAATGAGCAGTGATTTCATTGATTAATGTCTTATAAACTAATTAGTTAATTGAAATTACAATTAATTTGTGAAAATAATCAACTAATTGAAATTAGGTTATCAAGTTATTTACTGCTTTAAATTATTCCAACTATCTAAGTAATGAAAATGTTGCCATTATGCTTGCTTGTTTTTAAGCTTTCTAGTTATTGGGGTGGTGGGGGTGCCTTTTAATTTGAGGGTCTTGGGTTCAATTCCCATTATTAATCATTTTTCATTAATTATACTTGTTGTAAGACATTACATTAGGTTTATTATTTTTTCAACAATACATTCTTAATGTAGTCCCATAAGGATTGTAAAGAGTTAGAAGCGTGGATGATAATAGTATTTCAACCACTATTTTTGTTCTAGCTAGTGTTGATGATATGTTTCTCTCCATCCACAGTTCTTCAGATCATTTGGAATATCATTAACACAGTAGTAGTTGGAATACTATTTATATAGGTGATTTGTTACAACAAAAATCATTAAGGCATGAAAGTCTTTTACAAGCTGATGAAGCTGTATAAGTGGCATTAAACAAATTTGTTTTTAAATAAGCATCCTGCTTACAAATGCTAAAATATGAATTTAGGTGTGTGTGTGCTTCATAATTGTTTTCTAAATGTAATTATAAGTGTTTAATTTGAATTTGAAATGTTTGTATTTCACTGTTTTTATTTTGATATAAATCACATTACTAGAAATACAGATATGAGCTTTGAAATTGCTAGATTATAACCCAACTAAGCTACTCATAATGACTTTTGTAGGCTTTCTAATGAATTTTATTACTGATGTTATTATTAGTGTATAGTTTATGTAAAGTAAACAGTGGAAGTGATATAAACTATCAGTATTGATAATGGAGGTCTAGTTGGGCCCCTGCACTTGCAACATTATGGATCATCCCTGTTATGATTAACAGTTTCTTTAAGTATGGATCTATGTAGGACACCATGTTGCATGGATCAGTGGATACTGAATGTTTTTTTTATTTTTTTTATGGATATCTCAAGTACACTTAATAAAAAGAAAATATTAATGGGTCCATGTAGGTCAATAGAGTTCATACAAGTAAAAAAAAAAACGTTCACAAATCAAATTGATAAGGGTCCCCACCCAATTTTCCTGATCTTTCTATCTAAAAATGGCCATTTTGATACAGTGGAACTGTAAAGGTTTCAGTTGTAATTTATATCACATTAAGACATTGGTCAGTTCTTACCATCCTGTGTCTATATCTTCTTACTGGAGACATTCCTGAGATCTGCCAATACTATCACCATTTGACAGTTTTTGACAGTACAGGAAAGACAGGTTGTTTGATGGATGGGTTGATAGGGTTGAGGCTCTGATTTGGTCAAAGTGCACCCATCATGATTCTGCCACTCAGCACACCAGTGAAGGCTATTACCATTTGTGTCTCCATTGGTCATACCATCATAATTTGTTCTCTTTACCTATCACAGAGTGATGATTTTGATCAGACAGACCTTGCTATCTCCCTTATTTTCTGAGAGATTTTAACAAACACAATCCTCCCCACTAAGGTGATGCAGATATTGATGAAAGTGGTCAATCCATGGAGTGTATACTCTCAGATCACAACCTTCCTCTTTTAAATATTGGTTCTGGACATATTTTGATGCCCCATATTTGTTTCTCTTACTTCTCTCCATGATGGAAGCTGGAGCATATTCACAGGTTCTCCCTCTCTCGGAGTTTGATTTGGCTGTTGTTAACCTTTCATATACTAACAACTGTGTGGGGTCAGTAACTGATTGTATATTCCAGGCAGCTGTTACTTTAATCCCTAAAAATTTCAACACCTTTTCCATGGTATCCTCATCCATGGCGGTATCCTCACTGCCAAATGACACAAAAGGCCCCAAAACAGGTCTGAGATATCTTCTATAGATATACACTACTCTTTCCAACCACTTTATCTATCAGTAGGCTTGTGTCCATGTCTGGCAGATTAGACATCAAAGCCAGAAGAAATTTTGGATTCAGTTCAGTTCTGTTATTATTGCCGTTGCTAGTTCCACAGTAATTTGGGTCAAAAATCAAATTATATTAGGGAATTTTACCTTCCACGCATTTTTGATCTTGCTTTCCAATGGCCAAGAGGTTGCTGGTTTATAGGGTATTGTGAAATGCTTGAGAAGTAATTCTCTCTCACCATTCCAGCACATGTACCTCTTTCCTGCCTTCTTGGCCATCAAATCAGTGGCCAAAAGATCACTACGTTCTTTTTGAGCCAAATATCTCTATGATTATAATCAACCATTTACTGTGTTGGCACTTAAAGTTGCTCTTCATTGATCTGGCTGTATATCCATCTGTCTCCTGCATCTTTTATTCTTCTGGTTGTCTTTAACTGCATTTGGCAGAAGAAGGATTTCACAGATACATAGTATAGAGCTATTATAATCCAATTTTCAGTACCTGTGAAGTATACCAAGATTCCTTCTAATTATTGACATTGTTGTTTTGATTACCTTTCTTTAAAGTTTTGGATAAGATTATAAATGCTCATCATGTATAGTTTCCTTGAATAAAACAAAGTCCTCTTTCCCAATGAGTGTGATTTCCACAGAGCACAGATAACATTTCACTGTGTAGCACCTGATTTGGCTTTAAATCTCAAAGAGAGAATTTTGTTTTAATATTATTTTTCTCTTAAGGAGGCTTATGACACAACATGGATAATTGGCATCTTACAGAACCTCTATTCCTATTATTACATGGACATTTACCCATTATTATTTGTATTGGTTTCTAAATGACATATAATTCCAAATCTATTTGGATAAACATTGTCTAGAACATTCTCAGGAACTAGGAGATCCTGAGGACTGTATCTTGAATGATATAATTTTTAGCATTAAGATTAATGTCATTGCTAAACATCTTCCTACAGTTTCTATATCAATGACTTTCAAGTTTTCTATATGTTGTGCAATATGAGGTTTTTTTGAGCAGCAGCTTCAGACTGTCCTCATTTGCTTGTCTGGGTAGACAACAAGAAACAGTTTCGCATTCTCTTCTTCTAAAATCATTTGCATGCATTTCGTCACTAGCAGGGATTTTACCATTTTACTGAGTTCTGTCTGAAAGGTGCCATTCTTCCCGTGATGGCTAAGACAAAGTTCCTAGGACTTCTCTTAAATTGTAATCAGATGTTTATTTCACATATTCAACAGCTTAGTTTCAGTCTGATGATCAGCTCATTCCACCATGGCTTGTTACCATTCCTAGTTGTGACCTCTTTTTAAGTCATCTGAAGAAGTCAGATAATCCTAACTGCAGGTACAGTCTTCTTTCTTCTAAACACATTTCAAACCATTCTTCTGTTCCCATTTTTAAGGATGGTTTGAAATCATATGATCCTGTGAGCTCTGCCAAAGTTTGGTGTGGCGAACAATTACATAATTCCCTTTACAGATTGTGCTATATGCCATTTCCCTTGCTCTGAATTATGTTGAGGCTAAGCAATACACTAATTATATGAGCTATACTGTGTTGCATAGCTCTTTGAAGGCTCTGGAATCACTTAATATGAGTTCTTATCCAGTTTTCTTTGATATTTAGAAAAAAAACTGACCCATTTTTCATTATTAACCATCATTGTTCAGTTTTTCAGGATTCTCGGCCATGTTGGTAATTGTGTGAATGATCTTGCTGACACTGCAACAAAATCATCTGTTCTTGCTTGTCCGTAATGTTGACTTGAGGCATGTCATTGATCCAAGGGTTCCCACCAGATAGCAGTAAAATTTGGGGTAAGAAGCATCACACAAGCTTTTCCATGTTATTCCTTCTGTTATGTGACCATTTAGTTTCAATAGAATTCAGAGAGAGGAAGTTATCTTGATATGGCTTTAGGTTGTCTAGATTTTTTTGTACAAGAAACTAATCTGCTAATACGTGGCCTTCATGATACTCAGATCACATTCTGCATTCATGCCAATTATATGAATACAAGGGACAGCACCATTTTAGACACATTATATCTCATAATTTGCCATTGACCTATGTCAGTGGCATTGAAGATGGAGACACTGTTCAGATTGATTGTGTTTTGGGGATTTTTATGGATTATAGTTCTTTTTAGTTTCGTTTGATAAACAAAAATAAAATATTTTTTTTTTGTGTGTATTTGTTTTTTTTTTCTCAGTCTTTAGTATCCATTGTTTCCTGTAGATAGCCATAATGCTTTGCTCCATAACGGTCCAAATGACCAACCAACAAACTTCAATTCAGCAATAACTATATAATGCTTTTAATTTCAAGTTGTTTAAATAAGAAAATGGTTATTGAGTGTTTCCATTTAAATAATTTCTTGTATGTTAATCCAAAATACGGAACTACTCGTATCAGAAATGAAACTGCTTTTCTTTAAAGTTTCCTCTTTGTTTTGTTTGGTTATAGATAAGGCAAAAAATGTTTTAAGTATTTAAATAGTTTTGCTACTGTTTATATACATAACTAAGTTTGAATTATAAGGTTGATTAATTATATTATCATGTTTTAAACTAGTAAACTATAGAGACTATGTGTAATGATAATACTAGCTGTTATTTTTATTAACTTTTTGAACATGTTGTTTGATTTTAGAACATATTTGTCCAAGAGAAGATAGAGCATCCTGGTGATCTGATAGGAGGAAATGTTATTTCAAAGTTCAGTGAGAGCAATGATGATGATCTGGATAGTTTAAACTATAATGATATGAACGTGAAAACAAAAATCGAATTTCAAGAAGAAATTGAACCTGTGTTAGAAAGTGCATCTGGTAAGTACAAGGATCTAAAACTATTAAGTGTATTGACACTGGCTTAAAAAAATTGGTTAAATTCTTATTGAACCATATGAGACTGGTTCAATTAGTATAAATCTATGTTTCATGTGTCTTTTTCTAACTTCTAGTTGAGTATTTTGTGTGAAAGTTTTGAAGTGATATAATAACAACAAAACCTTTAAAAAACTGTAAGATTAATAAGTTTGCCTGAAAGTGAATAGGGATAACAGTAATTGTTTCTATAAGGTGAAACAGAAAAACTTTCTAACTGACCATTGTTTATCTTCCTGGTTCTTCTATAAATTTTCTGATTAATCTGTTTCAGTAGATTAATGTTTCAACATGTACAGAGTATTTTATTTCCCTAGATGTGATTTGCTGAACATTACTAGCCCTATAGAATCAAGGACTTGAATGATGCTGAAGATAGTAATCAAATAATCTTTAATCAGAGGGATGATACCTAAACTTGATAATAAAAAAAAAGAGTACCATAGTGATAAATATTTTGGTATTGTCTAACCCTTGGCATTTATAAATGTTTATTTATAACTTGCATATAGAGCTTTTGAACAAAATGTATAAACTATTAATGTTAATTAACATGTTAAAATAGACAAATCTTTAGATTTGATGATAATTAACCACTTCAAGTTAGAAAATATTTCTAAAACTTAATCCATAAAGATACTAGCTGAAAGTATGTTGATTGTTGTGAAACTGTACTATCATATTTCTACAGGTGATCTTACTTTATCTACTAAAAAACCTGTTGAAAGTGGAATGTTATCTACAGTTTGTTTTCAGTGTTATTCTGATTCGGGTAGAAACATTTTATTAAAGTGTGAAACTATGAAAACTACATTATAATTAGTTTTTAGCTTTAACATGTACATCAAGGAATACACACACTGGTGAACAACCTTACGTTAGAACATTAAATATATTTAAAAGTTCATCAAATATAGTATTAATTGTGATTTGGTATCATTTACATCTATTTTAGATATGAAGACCAGTGTGAACATGTGTTGTGAGAGTCAGTGTCCTGGTAATCATGTTATAAAACAAGAAGAGTACTTTATAGAAGATATAAATTCCCCAAAACCAAACAGTGGTATATGTGGAGAAACAACTTTAAATGGAAATAACCTAAAAGAATTTGATATACCTCAGTGTAATGGTAAAACATACAGTTGTGTAATCAGTGGAGAAGAATATGGAACAGTGAATAACCTAACACAAGAACAGAGGATACAATCTGGAGAGAAACTATATCATTGTGCAGTTTATGGAAAACATTTTGAGAGACATAGTCCCTTAGAGGGACATGAAAGAAATCACCCTGAGGAGAAACCTTACAGTTGTGGAGTTTGTAGAAAACAGTTTCGATCAAGCAGTAACTTAAAATCACATCAGAGAATACACACTGGGGAGATCCCAACCAGTTTTACAGTTTGTGAAAACCCATTCAGAACAAAAGATGAATTAAAAGGACATCAAAGAATACACACTGTGGAGAAACCATACAGTTGTACAGTTTGTGGAAATCATTATGGTACAAAGAGTATCTTAAAAATACATCAAAGAATACATACTGGGGAGAAACCATACAGATGTACAGTTTGTGAAAAACAATTTAGAACAAACGGTCAATTAAAAATACATCAAAGAATACACACTGGGGAGAAGCCTTACAATTGCATAGTTTGTAGAAAACAGTTTCTATCAAGATATAACTTAAAAATACATCAAAGAATACACACCGGAGAGAAACCTTATGATTGTAAAGTTTGTGAAAAACAGTTTAGAAGAAACAGTGATTTAAAAGTACATCAAAAAATACATACTGGGGAAAAACCATTCAGTTGTTCAGTTTGTGAAAAACAATTTAGAACAAACAGTGAGTTAAAAGGACATGAAAAAATACACTCTCTTGAGAAACCATACAATTGTTCAGTTTGTGAAAAAAAATTTAGAACAAACAGTGAATTAAAAGGACATAAAAAAATACATACTGGGGAGAAACCATACAGTTGTTCAGTTTGTGAAAAACAATTTGTAACAATGGGTAACTTAAAAATACATCAAAGAACACACACAGGGGAGAAACCATACAGTTGTTCAGTGTGTGGAAGGCACTTTGGTACAAAGAGTACCTTAAAATCACATCAAGGAATTCACACTGGTGAAAAACCTTACATTTGTACAGTTTGTGAAAAACAATTTAGAATAAATAGTGAATTAAAAAGACATCAAAAAACACACACTGGTGAGAAACCTTACAGTTGTGCAGTGTGTGGAAAACATTTTGTAGGAAGTAGTGTCTTAAAAAATCATCAAAGATTACATACTGGGGAGAAACCATACAGTTGTGAAGTTTGTGCGAAACAGTTTATATCAAAGGGTGTATTAAGAAATCATTTAAGATCACACACTGGTGAAAAACCTTACAGTTGTACAGTTTGTGAAAAACAGTATGGATCAAACTCTGATTTAAAAAAACATCAAAGAACACACACTGGGGAGAAACCTTACAGTTGTTCAATGTGTGAAAAACAATTTGGAAGAAATTCAGAATTAAAAAGACATCAAAGAACACACACTGGGGAAAAACCATACAGTTGTGAAGTTTGTGAAAAACAATTTATATCAATGGGTGATTTAAAATGTCATCTAAGAATACACACTGGGGAGAAACCTTACAGTTGTGCAGTGTGTGAAAAACACTTTGGTACAAAGAGTATCTTAAAAAATCATCAAAGAATACATACTGGGGAGAAACCATACAGTTGTGAAGTTTGTGGTAGACAATTTATATCAAAGGGTGATTTAAAAAGTCATCTAAGAATACACACTGGGGAGAAACCGTACAGTTGTGCAATTTGTGAAAAACAGTTTGGGAGAAACTCAGAATTAAAAAGACATCAAAGAACACACACTGGGGAGAAACAGTTTGGTAGAGAGAATTACTTAAAATCACATCAAAGAACACATGTGGAAAATATTTTGTAGGAAGTAGTAACTTGAGACAACATCAAAGAATACCCACTGGAGAGAAATGTTACATTTATGTAGCCTCCATACCACAGCAATTAAGTATGAGTGCTTACAATGCTATAAATTGGGTTTGATACCAGTAATTGACACAGCACAGATAGCTGATTGTGTAGGTTTGTAACATACCATATAACATAACATTAAAGTACAACAAGGGACACATTCCTCCATCTTGTATGTCCTCTGCAGGGAATCGAACTCTGCAATCTAACATTTTAAGTTTGTGAAATTACCTATGTCCCACCAAGTAACTCTGCTTCATGTACTTATCAGGATCTAAATCCAAGGTACTAAGTATGGTAGACAGAACCATCAAGAAGGTGTTACTTACTAATAAATTCACCTTTCCTTATCTTCTTGAAGTACATCCTTATTAGGAACTAAAGTCAAAGTTCTGAATATGGTAGATAGAACCCTGTAGAAGGTGTTACTTATTAATAAGTTCTACCTTCTTCATTTATTTCATGCACCATCCTTTAAAATCTTTAAATGGCAAGTGGAGATACCAGAGTCACCAAGAAAAAGCTCAGTCTCAATCTCCCTATGATGCAACAAGAGAAGTAGTGCTTTTATAGGGTTCCTAGCACTATCAGCTAACTAAATTTAAGACCAAGTGTAAGACAAATTTAAGACCTGTAGACATGTATTTTTATTCTGGTTATTGGATCACACAATACTGCAAGAGAAATATTAATAAAAAATGCATCATCATTGAGAATCCACTCATTTATTATGTTGGATTTTGCTTCAACTTCTCCTAAAAAGCTAGTGAAGTTTCCAAATTAAAAAAATATCATCAAGCAGGAAATGTATTAAGCATAACTGTTTGCACCAAACTAGTGCACTCAAATTTTTCACAACTTCTGTTGCGCCTTAACTTTTCTGTCAATGTCAGTTTCTAGCTCTTTTATTTCGGTAAGGTTTTTTTCCTTTGTCTCTTGACTACATTAAATTTAGTGGCGAAGTGAGCGGTATTGCTTCCTGTACATTTTTCTGCTTGTCCAATAAATGTATCTCTGTCCAACTGAAGAGATTCTTAACTTCAAAAAGAGTTTTCTCTTCGTCTGAACTGTATGTCAACACCTGTCCCAACTGTTATCAAGTAATGAACTTGCAAGTTGTTTGTAGTTTTATTTGGACCCTCATCAAACATAAACACAAAATCACCAGCTTGTGCCTGTGAAATCTACTGACCTTTTATGTATGGTGCCAGTCCAAACCTTATCAAATGGGCTGTTTTGTCTTCCCCACATTTGAATGCTTCGCAAATATCATTATATGGGAACATGGACAGGAACAGTGACACATTTTCATTAGACTAATATGAGTTATGCTGAGTAACAGTTTCCAGAGTACAAAGAATTTCTGTTTTGAGTGTCTCCATGTATCCAAAAGTCTTGCATAGTTTGGAGGCCTCTGGTTGCATAGGCCTAGATCTAGTCATCATATTGTTGCATCAGCGAGGTCACGTGACTAGTGTCACGCCACCCAGTTTCTAGAAATATCCCGTTCCTTCGTGAATGCCCTAGCATTTACTAGATATATGTTAGTCTGGTATATATATATAGGATGGTCACAACGTGACGGGACAATGTGTTTGTAGGTAGTGAGTAATTGAACTGCAGTCAGAAAGTATTGTTGATGTTAACGTTCGTTGTTATAGAGCGACTGTTGAAAATAAGTGTATCGGTAAAGTTATATTCGGAAAGAATAAACCAGTTTTATTAAGTAAGGACTTGTGTCGCTAAAGTTTCGTTGGAACGAATATACGGAAAATCAATTAACAAACGGAGACGTAACAATATCATCTCTAATGCACATATGTTCTTACACTGACCCCAGTACTTGTTTCTGTAGACCTAGATCTGACTGTACTATTAGACATATAATTTGTAATCACACTTGTATGTATACACTGGAAAGTACATAAATTA